AACGTCACACTTCCGCGGCCTGGCCTTGGGCTGGTCACGTAATTGTGCTTCCTTGGCTTTCTCACCTATAAAAGGGTATATTAATCATTCTATTTTAAATTAACCTTTTAAAAAGGGTTTTTTTTGCTGTTGGCCTATAACTCACGTACCATACAATTCAAAGGTTTAAAGATATTAAGAAGAGTTGTGCAACCATCCGCATAATCCATTTTAGAACATTTTCTTCATTCGTGTACCCGTATTTCTCAGTCACTCTCCAATGCAGGGCAGAAGTCCTGCTCTCGGGGAGCAGATGAAGCTGTCGGCTACTATAAAGAGCGATGGTCTCCTTAGTCCTGAGGAGCAGTCCTCTGCCTAATAGGATTGCTATGAGCCAGAAAGGACTGGATGCCAGCAAGTTTGCATTGGTTAGTTTAGCCTCATGGAAAAAGTGTCTGGTTCATAGTAAATGGTATTTGTTTGGGTTATTTGAAATGACAGTATCTTACCCTCCCACATGGTACTTTTTTTTTTTTTTCATTTTACATTAAAATCCTTTGTAGAATTTTTTTTTCTTTTTTTTTCTTTTTAATTTTATTTTTTAAACATTTTATTAGGGGCTCATACAACTGTTATCCCAATCCATACACACATCAATTGTGTAAAGCGCATTTGTACATCATTTCTCAAAACATTTTCTCTCCATTTAAACCCCTGACATTAGGTCCTCCCCACATGGTACTTTTATGAACATAAATCAACCTAGACATGTTAGTGATTGCCATCATAATTTCAAGTGAAGTGGGGATGTGATTATTTAATGTGAAAAATGTCCTGTTAGGTACATAGATAAGGAGATTTAGATATGTACATACAGATACATATATTTATGTAGATATATAGATATGCACAAGAGCAGATGGTGGTTTTGAACCGCTGACCTTGTGCATTAGAAGGATGAGGTTTTCACTCCTATAAAGAATTAGAGCCCCTTGTATTCAAACAAGCAGCCATCTAAGTCCACCTGGAAGAAGGCCACCAGCTCGTGTGAGCCAAAGGTGACTATAACAAAATCCAAATATAACAAAAGGAAGCGTATCAGAGGTTAAATGGTGAAAATCCAATTTGTAGAAGGCTGTGGAGGACATGGGAGGCCAAAACCCAGCTGCAGAGTGTCTGGTCAGAGTAAGCCTCTGGCTGGTCCCCTCACGCCACAGGCAAGACTTGAAAGGCCTCTCTATCAGACGGAGAACATTGTAAACTTGATCATGCTGGATCGAGCTTGATACTTGGTCAGTTGACCTCCCTCTTGACCCAACCTGAAAGTGTTCTAGGCGCAAGTAGTTCTTGCTTATTCCATGACAAAAATGTCTTCCCTGGCTTTTAAAATATTGATTTAATGGTGGTCTTTTCTCTCCTACTCATTCTTTGGATGTTTATCTTTATATTATTATTATTATTATTTCATCCTTGCCATTTAAAAAAATATTTCTGGTGGGTTTCCCAGTTTGTGGAGCACAGAAGGAGTCGCTGCATGGAAATAATAACTGATGCCGTGGTTATCGGGGATGTAGCAGGGGAGAGAGAGAGAGAGGGTGAAGGGGTTTGGGGAGCAAACTGAATGTGGGAGGTGAGGGAAGAACTAGAGCAGATTGAGATTGTGTATATACAACTTTTTTTTTTAATCATTTTATTAGGGGCTCATACAACTCTTATCACAATCCATACACGCACACATCAATTGTGTAAAGCGCATTTGTACATTCATTGCCCTCATCATTCTCAAAACATTTGCCTTCTACTGAAGCCCTTAATATCAGCTCCTCATTTCTCCCCCTCCCTCCCCACTCCCCCTCCCTCATGAACCCTTCATAATTCATAAATTATTATTATTTTGTCATATGTTACACTGTCCGACGTCTCCCCTGGCTCACTTCTCTGCTGTCCACCCCCCAGGGAGGAGGTTATACGTAGATTCTTGTAACTGGTTCCCGCTTTCCACCCCACACTCCCTCCACCCTCCAGGCATCGCCACTCTCACCACTGGTCCTGAAGGGGTCATCTGTCCTGGATTCCCTGTGTTTCCAGTTGCTATCTGTACCAATGTACATCCTCTAGTCTAACCAGATTTGTAAGGTAGAATTGGGATCATGATAATAGTGGGCGGAAGGAAACATTTAAGAACTAGAGGAAAGTTATATGTTTCATCATTGCTACCCTGCACCCTGACTGGCTCATCTCCTCCCTACAACCCTTCAATAAGGGGTGTCCAGTTGTCTACCAATGGGCTTTGAGTCTCCACTCTGCACTCACCCTCATTTACAATGATATGATTTTTTGTTCTTTGATGCTTGATACCTGATCCCTTTGACACCTCGTGGTTGCATAGGCTGGTGTGCTTCTTCCATGGGGGGTTTGATGCTTCTCAGCTAGATGGCCGCTTGTTTAT